AGTAGGGGCCAGATAGCCCACCCCGCCCAGGAGCGTGCAGATCCGCTGTTGGAGGGGCTGTCTCCGCTCTGTTTCGCGATGCATCGCCGACTCCAGGTCGACGTTCCCCCCGATGAGTCTTGAGTGTACTCTGGTCCTCCTCCTCCTCCTTCTCCCCCTCCTCCTCCTCCTCCTCCTCCTCCTCCCCCTCCTCCTCCTCCTCCTCCTCCTCCTCCTCCTCCTCCTCCTCCTCCTCCTCCTCCTCCTCCTCACTCCCTCCGCTTCCTCCTCCTCCTCCTCCTCCTCCTCCTCCTCCTCCCCCTTTCCCCGTCTGGCCACCTCCACGGTCGCCCCCAGTGCGGCAGGCCCTGAGGGATGGGACGGGGGATGGGCTGCGTCTGCCTGGGATCCCAATCCTGCCGTCCATCTTTTTGTTGGGGGGGGTCCCCTGGGAGGCTGCAGACTCCAGTGTCGCCCGTGGCCCTGCTCCCACACCTCCGACGTCTGGCCTTTGTTTTGGGTGCGGGGCCCCCTGGAGCCCCGGACAACTTTTTGTTGGGTGCGGGGCCCCCGGAGCCCTGGACACCTTGCCGGGGACGGGCCTCTCGTCCCAGATCCGTTGTGGACTGTCCGCGAGGGCCCCAGGAGGCCGCAGACCCTGCCCTGTTCGGCCCTGCTCTCTGTTCAGTGCGTCGGAGGTACCCCCGTCTTCCCCTCCTCTTCCCCCCCCTCCTCCCCCTTCCTCCTCCTCCTCCTCCTCTCCTCCCCTCCTCTCCTCCTCCCTCCTCCCCCTCCTCCTCCTCCTACTCCCCCCTCCTCTCTCCTCCTCCTCCTCCTCCTCCTCCTCCTCCTCCTCCTCCTCCTCCTCCTCCTCCTCCTCCTCCTCCTCTCGGGCTGCTTCGTCCAATCCGCGCCTGCGTCGGAGGTCTGGGGTCCTGGCAGGGCCGTGGGCCCGAGCGCGTCCGGGGGGCGCTCCCCCCCAGGAGCGCTCGGCTGCGCCATCGAGGGCTCCTCGCCGATCCATCGGCGATGTATCGCCGAGTCCGGGCCGATGCTCCCCCCCTGAGCTGCCCCCCCCCCCCCCCCCCCCCATGACCTGGGCCCTCAGCATTCCGATTCCGATCCCCAATACGATGCACCCTTTCCGATTCCGATCCCCAATGCGATGCACTCATCCGAAGTCTCCATACAAAAGCAGCAGCGTTCATACCATCCAGACTCCGCTCAAGGAAAATCAATGATCTTGGCTTGACCCTGGGCGTTTTCTTGGAGCTTCTTGTTCGTAGAACTTCCGTGTATCTGGACCTGGACTACTGTTTAAGAGCACGTCTGCAGAGAAGTCCATATTCTTGGCTTAGACTTGTCTTAGCTCTAAGCAGGGGGTGTGTGATGTGGACTGACCCGACTGATCCTGGCAGGACTTCGGGTCCGAGCACGGCTTGGAGAAGCTCGGCCAGGTGTACCGTGAGCTCCTTGAGCTGGGGCCGCAGTGGCCCGCCACAAGCGCCGAGGACCCGCCATTGCTGCTGCTGCTGCTGCAGTTGCTGCAGACTTTCCGTAGCCTGTTAGGCCAAGGCTTCGCACGACGCTCGCAGCCAGGCCAGAGGCTCCCGGCTTGGTAGAACCCCGAACCCCAGGGCCTGCAAGGCTGCGACCTGCCGTCCGCAAGTTCGGCTCGAGCTCCGCGCAGAGCAGGTCGCCGGGGCCCGAGGCTCCTGGCATCGCAGGACGAAGGGCACCAGGGCCCGAGGCAGCCCGACGAGGCCGGGAGCCCAGGCCGTGCGCCAGGAGCCTTGTGGGGTGCCGGCAGCCCGTGCTGGGAGCCTGCGCTCCCAGCCGGGCCAGGGCCTGAGCTCCGAGAACGGCCAGGCCTGCTCTGAGTTTCTGAATGACTTTGCATCGCTCGGACGTGTGCATTTTTCCTTCGGCGAGGACCATCGAGGAGCATCCTGGATCATTTGGCGAGAAAACCACGCACGACACCGAAAAAAACACGCACGACACCGACAAATGCACGGGAAATGGAGATCCGAGCGATGGCAAGTTGGGTTTCTCAATGAGCGTGGGGGGGTACCCCCCCGACGGGGGTCAACCTGTCTCGTCGTCGCGCCGCGAGGCTGTCGGCGGGGGTGACGCCCCCCCGACGCTCCCTAAGAAACGCGGGTTGTGTCAATGTGTGTGTGTGTGTCGATCCCGCGAGGGGGCGGCGTGCACGTCGAGCCCTTATGGATAGTGGAAGCTCCACGGCGTGCGCAATCCGGCCATGCCGCTCGGGAACCCTGTACACCATGCGACTTCTGTGTGCTACCTGCTCCTGCCAGACGCGCGCCGCTCGCGACACCACACATCCGAGGCTGGAATTTATACATGACCACCGCCTGGAGGATCAATGTTCGGGTACCTCGGCAGGCGGTGGATACGGAGATTTTCGGGCCCCCGGTGGGCCAACATATATCCATATCCACCGCCCGCTGGGGCACCAGGACGTCGGTTCCCAGGCGGTGGATATGGATAAATCCCCGCCTCGCAGCATACTGCCGGTATGTTTCTTCTGTATCCCACGCGCCCCGAGCCCAGCGCAAAGTCTCGATCCTCTCTGCAGCACCACTTGCTCGGTTCTGGGGTCTCCCCCCCTTCCCCTGCGTTTCGTCCCCTCGCTCTCCCCCGCGTCTGTCCGCGACTCATCATCTGCTTCGTTGCGTCCCACAGCTGCCCTATCGCGGCTTGGGTCCAAGTGGCCGCCGACCCTAATGGGCCCTGGACAAGACAAGGCAGTTTCTGTTACTAGTTCCGTTCTGGAGTTTGTTTTCCAGAGCATTTGTTTCTGCCGTTTCTGGTCACCGATGTTATGTAAACCGCTTCAGTGGTCAATAGGCACTTCTTCTTCGGAAACGGTGAAGACACGGAGCTGCCGCTTCCGCGGTCAACTCAGTTGCTCTACAGTTGAGACCCATGCCAAGAAACACCCTGCTTGCCTCCTGGGTGCCCTGGGGTTCTGAGGTATCGGTGGTTTTGCTATGGAAGGAGCAGCGTTCCCACACCAAAAATCCATGGACGTCCTGGGGTCTCAGGGTTGGGTGTCTTGTGGAAGGTTTCCTGTGGTCGGGCCCCTACTGTAAGTTGCCCTACCGCTCATCGGATCCGAGTGGCCGCCGACAAAAAACCTTTGAGCTCTGGGGCCCCGGTGGCCCGCCACCGGCGCCGCGGGGACCCGCCGCGGGGACTCCCCCGCGGGGACCGCGGCCTGTCGGGCGTGCTGGGCTCCGCGCTGGGCGGCTGGCGCGGTGCGCTGAGGGAGAAGAGCGGCGCAAACGCGGCAGAGGAAGAGACCCTGCCAACCACAGTGGCGAACCGTCTTGGCTTGCCGACAGCCGGAGGACCAAGAACGAACATGAATACATATACACTTTCGACGGTCCGCGCGGATGTCTTGGATCTGCGCTATGGCCCCCCTGGCGGCTCTTCCGGCGCCGCCCTTGGCGCTCTCCGCGCGCCAGGGAGAGGGCTCCAACGCAGATCCAAGGAATCCGCGCGGAGCGCCAAAAGTTTACGTTTATATCGTCCGAAAGGAGAGGAACGGCGCAAACTCGGCAGAGGAAGAGACCCTGCAAACTACAGTGGCGAGGCGTCCTGGCTTGCCTGCAGGCCCACCGCAGGATGTGCTCAGCGCCTCTCGTGGTTTGCTCGACATGTTCGTAGACCACGTCTGGCTGAGACCCTCGTTTTTTACACGTCGGGTCCACGTTCTAAGAACTTTCTCCGAACTGGCTTAGAACGTTCTTTTGCTCTGAGAACATTCCGTGGTAGGCCTACATGATCATGCTGCTACTAATGATAATATTGATAATAGCAACTCGTAATACTATGATACTGCTTAGGGGGAGAGCGACGTACACTCGGAAGAGGCAACGACCAAGCTCTCCGATTATCTGGACCTTTTTAATCTGGTCGTTTTGCCACTTGGACGCTCGGCCCCTGGGGACCACTCCCGGGCCCCAGGATGCTCAAACGGGGACCTGGGGGCGGAGAACTACTCCGGCAGAAGCGGTCCGGACCTTTCTGGTGCCGCGGACTGACAGCAGCCGGATCGGCGCAGGGGCGGGCGGTGAACATTCGGAGGAGGAGGAGGAGGAGGAGGAGGAGGAGGAGGAGGAGGAGGACGAGGAGTAGGAGGAGGAGGACGAGGAGGAGGAGGAGGACGAGGAGGAGATACCGATACCGCTGCTCGTCTTGAAGAAGCTTCGTCGCCATGGCCAAATCCGCCTCAAGGTCCGGGGCCTCGGGGCCGTCAGCAAAACGACGAGGGATGAGAAGCCGGTCCCGGGGGAAGCGGTCGGGACCCAGACTCAAGCAGTGGCGAAGCGTCCTGGCGTGCCTATCGTCCTGCCAAGCAGTGTTCTAAGAACCTTTTGTGGTTCCCACGAAGTTTTCTTAGAACATTCTTGGTTGGGGCTGTCTTGGTTTAACACATCGGGCTTATGGTCTAAGAGCATTGTTTTTGTTCTTAGAACATTTTTGGGTTCTAAGAACATGTCGTGGTAGGACTATAGGAATGCCGGGACGGTCGGTCTCTGCTCAACAGACATCCGACGTCTCGATTTTTGTTTCGAGACACGGGCCCCCGACCTCCCGACCACTTCCCCAGGGCCGGTTTTTCGCCCCGAGTCGTTTTGGGACGGCCCCGAGGCCCGGCGAGGGCCCCGAGAGGCCGAAAACGCTGAGAAGCTCCCGCCTCGGTTTTTTCGAGGCGCCCAATGTCTGGGGAGGTCGGGGGCATCGCGCCGCATTGCCGATGGGGCTCGATGTGCAGCCTGGTCTGCTTCACGTCGACGTCGCCCATGCGTCGCCGACGTCGAAGATGCATCGCCGGCGCATCGCCGATGCATCGCCGATGCATCGCCGATACACCGCCGATGTATTGGCGATGCGACGCGATCCTCTGGCCCCATCTGCTCCGACCCCATCGAGGAGGCCACCGTAGATGGGGTCCGAGAGCAACAGGAGGAGGAACGAGGACGAGGACGAGGCGGAGGAGGAGGAGGAGGATCCAGAATAGTCCAGGAAGGATGTCAGAGGCTCCGTGCGCGCAGTGGTGCCATCGACCAACTTCGAGCCCCGTCCGAAGAAACAACACGAGTCAAGGTCAACGAAAAGGAGGGAAAAGGCTCAGCGGCTTCGAGGTTTTCGAGGTTCAAGGTCTTCGTACGTTTTCGTCTATTCTCAGCGGTTGTCCAGCCTCGGGTGCCTTCCAGCGGCTGCGCCTCGCCGAGAGCGTTCTGTGGGTGCCTGGGCCGTTCCGAAGGGCCGCCAGAGAGCCGAGCCATGACTTGAAAGCCATAGGACGAGGATCACTGAGGGGCTTCGCTCAGGGGGGAGTCGACCCCCAGTCGCCAATCCACCGCGGGTAGGGGCCTGATTTATCTGATAGCCCACCCCGGCCAGGAACGCGCGTCTTCGCTATCCACGGCTTGTCGCCGCTCAGTTGGCAATGTATCACGGATTCCATCGGCGTCACCCCGACATATCTATATTATATGTGCGTCGCCTCCCCATGGGCGACGCGCGCATCGAGACATCTCATAGTACATGCGTCGTGGCTGGCGCATTCTGGCCACCGCTCGGGCAACGATATACCACAACATGAGTATACTGCGCGTCCGGTTCGGACGCGCGCTTCCAAGGCGGACATGTAGTATGAGTACGTCCCCGTGCGCCCCATTCCAGGTCGATGCCTCCCAGCCCGGAGGTGGCTGTCCCTGCCGTCCCCCTCATCAAAATCGGGCCCGCTGTGGGCCGTTCCTGGCTTGTGCAAGAGGAGGTTCGACGTCCGTGGCCATGTCTTTGTTCCCCGGCCTTGCGGAGGGGGCTCCCGTCGCGTGTTCCCCTGGGGGGGGGGTCTGGGAGGGTACCCCCAAGACGCCCCCAAGACTGCGCGGCCCAGGTTCCAAGAGGGTTCCGAGTGGCACAACTCATTGATTTCCTCTAGGTTTTTGCAGGTGTTTCGCGTTTTCGCCTGATCGGCCTCCCGACGCTTCAAGACGGCCCAAGAGGCCCCAAAGATGGCCCCAAAACGGCCCGGGAGGCCCCCAAGAGAGCGCCCAAACGGCCCAAAACACCCTCAAGACGGCCCAAGAAGCCTCCAATGCGGCTTAAGAAGACCCTAGGAACACCCCAAGAGGGGCTCCAGAAGGGGGGCAGGGACCGACATTGTGAGCTCTCCGCCTAAAGAACCCCCCATGTGGGCCCCAAGAGGCCTCCAAGAGGTTTCCAGGAAGTCCCCAGAGGCCCCCAAGACGACCCCAGGACTGCCCAAGATGGCCACGAGATGACCGGAGACGCCCCAGGGCCCGAAGACTGCCCAACAGGGCTCCAAGATAGTCGGAGACGCCCCGACAAATTGGCACAGCGTCAAACGGACAACACGGGAACAAGCAGAATGCGCCTTAATGCGGCACAGCGTCAAACGGACATCAGTGGAATCAACACTATGCGCCTTAAAGGCATCCTCTTCTTGTCCCACAGGTCGTGGTTCGTGGCAAGATCAGGTTTCAATGCGAGGCTCTATAGTTTCACCCCGAGGCTTCATAGTTTCACCCCAGATCAATTGTGATGGCTGGGGCGTGAAACAGGCGCCCGATGGCCGAAATCGAGGAACAATCGTTTTTCGAAAAAAGGCATCGTCGGAGATCTGGGGTGATTGACCCCCGACTGTCTCGACCCACTCCCCGGGAATGGCTTTCCGCCCCGATCCGTTTCTCGACGGTCCCGGGCCCTAAGGTCCGACGTTGCGAAACAATTGAAGCACTATTCAAATTAGCCTGGCGAAGAACCCAACCATATGCAGTTGTCAGTACCGCAGCTGCGGGTTTCATCTTCAGTGGAACTCCCCATAGGACTACGGAACGTGTGAGGGGTGTGCCGAGATGGGTGCCACTGGGGCATTCGGCGAAGCTCCCTATGGGGACATGACACACGCGCGGGGCGTGCCGACATGGGTGGCGGAAACGCATGTGAGGGCCGCCACTGGGGCCTCCAGTGGGCTCCCTATGTGTCCCGAAACATGATGATGCTGCGGGGGGGGGGGGGGCGGGATGCATGGCGGAGACGCATGTAAGCGCCGCTACTGGGGCCTTCGGTGGAGCTCCCTATGGGGCCACGAAGCGCGTGAGGGGTGTACTGGGATGTGTGGCGGGGACGCATGTGAACGCCGCCACCGGGGCCTTCGGTGCAGCTCCCTATGGGGCTAGGAAACGTGTGAGGGGTGTGCCGAATTGGGTGTGGGTGGTGACGCATGCGGGCGGTGCCACTGGGGCCTTCGGTGGAGCTCCCTATGGGGCCACGAAGCATGTTGTTGTGAGGGGCGTGCCGGGATGCGTGGCGGGGACGCATGTGAGCGCGGCCGCTGGGGCCTTCGGTGGAGCTCCCTATGGGGCCACGAAACGTGTGAGGGGTGTGCCGAAGGGGTGTGCCGATGGATGATGGGGCCACGGAACCTGTCAGGGGTGTGCCGAAATGGGTGTG